TTCTTTATTCCCCCCCCCCCCCAAGACAGGGTTTCTTTGTGTAGCCTTGGCTGTCCTAGACTCACTTTGTAGAGCAGGCTGGCCTTGAACTCAACAGTGATCTGCCTGGCTCTGCCTCTGCTTCCTGGGCTGGGATTACAGATATGTGCCACCACCCCCAGCTTCTTAAAGGTACCTGAGTATTGAGAATGTAGTTCATGTTAGTGAACAGTATTTCATGTGTGTAGTCATTAAGAAAGCTTGTTATTTTAAAGTTTTCCACTTAAGACTTATTTCTGAAATACTGAAATGTATGAATAGTGCCATATTACTTTTTTTTTTTAATCTGTATACTTTAAGGCAATAAAGATCTTCTGTATTTTGAGGTTCTCGAATTCCTTAAATTAACTTTTTTTATAGTATACCTTTGCATTCTGTGAACTGAAAATACCTTTGATTCTAAATAGATCCAAAGATAGTAAGTAGAGTGTTGGGAGTGGAAGGAAATGTAGATCACTTGTCTAGGAATAATAAGTTTCACTTCAAGCGACATTCTATCTCTCTGGGTAGTCAGTGACTGTCCAGAGGGGAGAGGCAGTTCTCATTTATTACGTGTTGAGAATCACAGGACTCATCTGCTAAGGAGGTTCTGCACTCACAAGACAGCCTGAGGAAGGGTACATAGCTATTTAGTGGCTTTTAAGTTGAAGTGACTTCACTGTCAGTTAGACTGTTTCTCTCTATATAATAGAATGCCTGATGGAATGCCTAACTTTGTTAATCAGAAACTGTAATAGACTGTGTCTGACTTTCTATTTTGTTGATAACATACTGATTTCATGGTGCATCATGCTTTTCCTGTGAGAGGTAGGCAAAGGAGAAACTATAGTTACTTTATTTTTGTGAGTTATAGAAGAGGAAATTAAATCATGCATCCAGAGACAGAATTGGTGATGGTAATGGGAAATGGTTGATTTTTCCCCTTCAAAGTTTGTGTCCACTCTCAAGTGTTGTGTAGAATTCTAATTTGTTTCTACTGATAATTCAGATAAATACATTTTTCCTTAAAATATAAGTATGGTTTACAAACTGAAGATACATAAACCTATAATGTTCAGCTTGATGAAACTTTATACATGTATGTACACCTTCATGACCACCATTCCAGAGTAACTACTATGCTGAGTCTCTTTCTGTCTGCTGCTTCTGGCTTTTGAAATCCAGGGAATGAAGACACGCCATAGATAAGCCTTCCTTTATTTCAGCAACTTTGTAACTATCAGATGCATTCGTGCTTTTGCATGCTGGAGTATAACTCATTCTTGTTTTTTTACTACATGAGTAAAATATATTTACTTACTCATTAATCTGTTGATGAATATTTGATTTGCTTTGACCTTAACTTTTAGTCTGCTGCTTGTATGAATCACAGTCTTTGAATTAGTAGGAATTGTTAGAGCAATACTCATTAAATTTCAGTTCTAGGAATCAGTTTTAAAAAGAAAAATGATTTATTAGAATTAAATTACATACTATATGGACAACTTAACACAGTACTTAGAATACTGACAACATAGTGATGATAGACAATATAGATTAAGATTCTTAATTCTATACAGTTGCCTGTATTTTATCTCATTCCTAATAGTCCTTTTGAAACTTTTTATGGTACAATTTAAGAGTATATACCCATCGTTTTATTTTTTTGTAGTCAAGAACTCTATCAGTTGTCTTTTCTCTATAATCTGACTATCCCATACTTATTTGGTGTTTAGAAGGAAACTCAGATATAAATTGCATCAGTAAATATTTCAGGGTCTTTTTTTATATATAAAAACCCCAAAGTTCCCTTGTGTTTTACAATATCTTCTAGTTGATCAGTTTCTTAGTTGCTTCAGATGGTTTGTTCCATTTGAGGCCTGTATTTAAAGTGTTCTTCATCCTCCATTCTTCTTTTTTCTGGCAGTTCATTTGTTGACAAGACTGATTGTTGGTCTGGAAGTTTCTTGCTCTGGACGTGCTGGTTTTGCTCCAGTTGATGTTTCTTTGTCCTATGGATTTTGTCTAAATTGTTGATTGAGTCTACAGACTACCTCAGTGGCGAGTTTTACTTTTTTTCTTTGGCAAGGGTACTTCATAGGTGACGATATATCCTATTGTGTTTGTTGGTTTGAGTTACAGTTTCTCTGTGTAGCCCTGGCTCTCCTGGAGCTCGATATGTAGACTCTCCAGGTTGGCTTCAGGCTCACAGAGATCCACCTGCTTCCGTCTCCTGAGTGCTGGGGTTACAGGCGTGCACCGCTACCGCCTGCCCAGCTGTTGTGTCTTTTAATATAACATTTTTTTGAGTCTTTCCTAAATTCTGAGGCTATTTTTTAATCTTGATATATTTTTACTGTTTTATTCACTACAATTGAAACATTATAAATTTAATATGAGAGGGTGCCTAAAATTTAATTTTTATTGTTTTTGCTAATGTGAGCAGCAAACAAAGCTTTATCTGAAGTTTCAGAATTTTGAGTCAGTGACAAAAAAAAGTTTCTCTTCTCTTTCCCCAAATACAAACTAAGCAGATGAGATGCTGATGTTTAGTGGCCTCTAGACTAAACATTTGCTTCCCTTTCTTCTCTGAGATTTTGATTTTGGAACTGAAATAAAATTTTCAGTCTTCCGTATGTTTTTCATATATGGTGTCTATACTAGTGTGAATGATTTTAGTCAGAAAAAAAATTGTTATATATTGCTGAAGTTACAGAAGTTAGGAAGGGATGAGATGGAGAAGTTTACAGCGCATTGTTTGATGTCCTTTATGCAATGTTTTACAAGGGCCTTTTTAAATTGCAAATTATGAATTCCTGTATTGTAGCATCTGAAATACTTTTTCAGTTTTTACTTTTTGGCTTCAGAATATATGTACTGCCTTTTTTTGGGCATTATAAAAAAGTATGGTACCCATGTCATACAGTATTTTAGTTTTGGATATCTGAAAGTCAGGCATGAAATATCAGATTACTGGAATTTTAGAGATTT